CTTAGGGATCTATTTGCTCGAGCCCTGCGGGAGATGCTGAAGAAGATTGAACACCCATGCAAGATCGAGTTGTCAGATCTTCCCCAACCGTCAATCCCGAAGCGGCCTGAAGATGGTGAAGATGTGGCAGTGAGGCAACAAGATGGTACCATACAAATCCAGACTGTGGCTTCTTTGGAACAGGCGGAACAGGCCATGTGAATATGTAGAACAAAATGTTCAAATCTACTATCATTATTGAAAGATTGATTGAAAACAAAATCTTGACAAGGTACCAGCGCCACCAGATGTTAATGGTCTTTTGGCATTGGAGGATGGCAGTGTCAGTGGGCCCCACGATGGATCAGAGGAGGCTGATGATTGATGAACGTTTGCTTTTCCTTGTTTTCATGATGAGTCTGAGTCTTGAATTTGATGATCCTGTCAGTCTGTCTTCGTATAGATATGGCATGTAATATGGATGCTGGTAGGCAGTGGAGATGGAGATTGATATTACTACGCGGCAAAATGCGAATGGCATTGAACCCATTGAGGCAGGTCAAGCGGCCAAACCACGGTTTGATGCAAAATACAGTAATGATTTTCACTTTTTCATGCGGTTACAGTTCTAAACCATGCCTTTACCTCCCTTGACTCCAGGCTCCAACAGTCGCTGTCTCCGCCCCCGAACATAAAGATCTTCCATCACCACCAACTCCACCAACGCTTTTGGATGCGCCTAGCCGGATTCCCAATCAGGGGAATGAGGGTGATGTCCCCCTGAATGAATCACAAGTGGGCGGTGCTCGTGTTGAAACAGCACCAACATTATCGGTGGCAGCCTTTGGTGATATGCCAGTGTTGGTGGACGACGACAATGATAATGATGAGGACGATCTTTTTGGCAGTGGCAGTGGCAATGATCAAGAATCGGCGTCGGAAGATGCCGCTGAGACTTGTCATGCAAGTGCTACAGTATAATTATGTTCCAAGAACTTTGAATTTGAACTCTGGTCCAAGGTTTCTTTTGCTACTGTTTTTCTTTGCTTCCTTCTGATTCGGATGTTTTCTGTTTGCTCTCGCCGCTCCCCTATTTGGTTCAGGAAGAGCCAGAGGAAGAGGAAGAGGAAGAGGACGAGGAAATTGAGCAGATTCCTTGTCGGCGTCCAGCAGCTGCTCAAGCCAAGGTGAAGGCAGCAGCAAAACCAAAAGCCAAGCCGAAGGCAAAGGCAAAAACGAAAGCTAAGGCCAAGCCTAGGCAGCCTAGAGCCCCCAAAGCAAAGGCGCAAGGCAAGAGCAAAGCTCGATGTGCCGATGCAGCGGAAGCGCAACCCAAAAAGCGCCCCAGGACCAAGAAACCTGCTCCTGGCCAATCAACACTTGCGTTTACTCAGACCAGCCCTTTAACTGAACTCATGAGCACTTCATGAGTGGCTGGTATGTTCCAGGTGGCTGTAGACTGATGGGTGCTGGTCAGTGTGCTTGTATGTTCCAACATATCATATCTACAGAAATTTTGTTTTTTTGATTTCAAGATATTGTCATTGATGGTCTTTACATCCATCATCTCTCCACCACAAGCACTGTTAAGCAGAGTATGTGGTGAACCCTCTGCATCAATACTAGAAGCATCTCAGCACAGCGGGAAAAATGATTGCTTGTGTTGTGCGAGCACCGCCTCTCTACCAAGCTGCTAACATGATTTTGGAACTTGACCCCAACCTCTGGCAGCTTAATTTACTTTTCGGGTTTTTTTTGGACATATATTTCCATTGATAAATAAATTTGACAACATATTTTGGCTGATCTGGCGTACCAACCTCTGTTTTTTTTTTAATAAAGGGCACACATGTGTTTAATTATTGATGTTCATGTGTGCCTAAGGAAACAAAGGTTGGGCCCTACACGGCTATTAATTTTGGATAAGAAAAATGACTGCCAAAATTAATAGCTCCTACATCCTACATCATGTTAATATTAATGGATGTTTAAATCATGAAAAAAACATATTATAATTTTAAAATGAGGGGATCATTCAATTAATTTCATTCTTTCATTCGCTTATTTTATGCTATATCTTATAAATCAATGACTCGCCATTTTAATTCTAATATATGGCGAGGGTCATCGGTAAGTGCATTTATTTATATATGGGCTAGAATATTGTGGTTTCGGTTTCTTTTTTTTATTCTTATTGAAGGTCATTTTGTAATGGCAAACTATTCTAGCATATAAAAATAGAAAAGAAATATAATGGTGGTTCATGATTTTTATAAGTTGGTGAAGGTACAAATGATAAGGTAAAAATCATGAACCATATTAAATAAAATACACTAGCCATTGACCTCCAAATCTATTGAACATGAAAGATTTGGATGTGATCACATGTAGATACAGAAGAATTAGAAAAGACACATATTAATAGATGACAATTTTCACTCTAAGATATTCATTTAAAACAATTGCCATTAGATAAAATATATATAAATAAGAGATATTACATTTCATAAAGTAATTCCTAAAAATGAAATGGATTTATGCTTACAGGATTCTTCATTCTAATTCTATAGGTGATTGATGAGAATGAATTAGAATGAAGGGCCCATGAATTTTAATGGAGAATTACTTGATAAAATTCATGGATTTCGTATTCATTATCCATTAAATATATGAAAGAGAAATATCCAGGAGCAACCGTAAAGAAATAAAGGACATAAATTCAATAATCGGTTGCTCCCAGAACATTGATCTATTATATATATTTTATATTGCTATAGCCCCATTAATGCCCCATTATGTTAATATCTGTTTTTGTGGGCTATAGCTATAATTCTGTCATCCTTTTATGCGACTTTAAATAAGTGGATGTCATTGTTTTATTTATATATGAATGACAGGTCATGTTCTAGCATTAATATTATTCATGATGTGCCATTTAGTATTGTAGAGATTTCATTTAGTTAAATGGCACATCCAATATATGAAAGTGAATAAAAAGTTTACAACCTTAATATGCAGTTGGGCCATAATATGTTAACCGGCTTAGAGACCAGCCCAACCGCTGCATCCAAGGGCCCCAGATCCAAGAAGGGGCCCATCTGTCTCTTCCCTGTGGCACCCCCAAAATCCAAAAAAGATGACGGGGTGCCTCCACAAAGGGAAAAAGATAAAGGTACAAATATATTATCACCATTTATTTGTATATAAGAAAAGAAAGCCACATTATACAATAAATGGTGATAAGTGATAAGGAAAAAGTGAATTATTTAATGCCATTTGCTCTTTTAGGATTCATTATTTTAATATAACAAATGGCATTATAAAAGCATAAAAGAGATGATTTATCTTTCCTGGCCAGCCTAAATATAATTTCAGATTAAAATAAATAGGCTTGCCAATTAATGATTAAATAATTTATATATGATGTAACCGATGACCCGTCATCCTTTTAGCACAGTCAGTGGCCTGGCCGGTGATGTCCATGACCAAACGTGGCCGCTCCTGTTGCCAAAGTGCTGCCTTGTGGAACAGCAAGGCCTCGGCTGAAAATCCGCCGAGCGGTGTGCTAGAATCGAGCAGCCTGGCAGCTGGTGCAAGCAGAACAACATCGGTATGTTTGATGCTTTCTTGATATTAAATCCCGTAGCTGAAGTGGTGTCTAGATTAATATCGTCTAAATGCATTGCGTCTATCAGAAACTAGGAAAAAGCGCCGCAAATGGATTCACTGGAAAGTTGGGTGGATTAACTTGCTCAGATTGATCAACAAGGATGTTCTGGCAGCCTTCGCATCAAACAGCTTCAGCAGATTAATGGTCATATTCCATGCACGGTATCTTCAAAAGCAACCGCCCTCAAAAAGGCCTTCTTGCTGTGTTCTGTCTCCACCCAGTCATCTGAAACCAACTCAGACTCCTCAAACCCCACCGTGGCAGCCCCCGCCTCTCGCCAAAGGTTGAGGACACCTTTCTGCCGCACCCTGGCCACCGCGAGCTGCCTGGAGACCGAAACTCGCGTACCCGGCTTCAGCCGCAAAAAGCCTCTTGCCCTAAGAATCCGGACCCTCAAACACATAGGGTTTGGTTCGGGCCCGGACCCCTGTGAAGGTGTCGGGTCCGACCCCTGCCATGGAGAGCCCAAGGATTCTTAGGATGCCAGATCCAAATTGCTCAATCAAGCCCCCTGCGCCGCCCCCCCAAGAATGGCTCTGGCTCTCCATGGGTGTATATAAAATCTCTTGCCCACCAAACTAACATGGACTGGGTTCAATCCCTCGACCGTCCGACCTCCCTCGTTCAATCTGCGCCTCTCGGACTCCCGCTCCAGGTCATGGCCGTTCTGTGCATCCAAGCGCCGCTCGCGGCGGACCTGCCAGACTCCCGATTTGGGCCACCAACGTCGTGATTGTTGGTTCGTTCAACATGAGTCCTGGGTGTTGCGAGACAAAGGTCCGAGCAGTTCCCCCTAAGGTGCCACGGGGGAGTCAGGCCTAGTTGGGCGGAGAATGGAGCTGGGCTGGGCAGCGTGCAGAACGCGAAACCAAACGGTAGACATGGACTTCAGAAGGGCCATTTTCCACCTCCTACTCATGATTGAAAGGTATCGAAACTCACCAGATTATTAACGATGTGGCTACACTAAAAAGCCAGTGAGCCAGGGAATGTCAGGGTTTAGATGGGTTTAGGGTGACACATGGTGACACGGCCTTCTTCAAAAATCCAAACATTAACAACACTGAAAAGAAACCTGGAGCCCAAAGTCCAGCACCAGGTGCAGAATATTGCAGAATTGTGGCGTCGGAAACAAGTGGACCATCATGAAGGGGTAAGGAACAATTCTAGACACCTACAGTACCCCCTTGTGAGCCACTTCCGAGCTTGCTCACCTCAAGCACTCCAAACACCGTTGGAAGAAGTCCGGCCCAGAAGTCTCTCTTTCGCCCTGGCCGCCCTGTTTCTTCAAGGCCGCTGCTTTTTCCGTTCGCTCGGACGTCCAACCCCGGTCCCCTCCCTCACCTCCCTCCCTCACTCACCTCATCCACTCACCTCGCTCACTCACCTCAGCGCTTCTCCAGTCCAGTCTCGTCGTCTTTCTCCGAGTCTTCTGCGGGCGGCGCCGCCGATGCTGGCTCCAGGCATCCTCCGCCATGATTCCGTCGACGGTTTCCCGGATCATATCGCATTGGGGAAGCCGGACATGCCCCCCCTGAGTCTTCTCAGGGCGAAGGTTCACTATGCAGGCCGTTCGCAGCCTGAAGGCAGAGCGGACGGGCGGAGGCCCATTTTTGTTCGCTCGATGGACAGGCCCTGGACCTGAAGATAAGTACTAACTACCAACATCTACCAACAATCGAGCATATATGCAAAATGGGTGTCAAATAATTAGGTTCTAGGTATACATCGATATATATATATAACGGGACATGATCAGATATAGTGACCCAACATAGACAGATTCAAAGTGACCATTCTGAAGTCCTTAAGTGGCCTGCTAGTACAGGCCTAAGTGACCTCAAACCTGGGGATCCAAGGTGACTTTTAAGAACCAACAACATGCATTTTCTCACTTGCAAGTGCTCAGGGACCGGGGGGGTACTCCTTGCTAAAGCTTGAAAAGAAAGCACCGCGGGCACCGTGACAAGCAGTGGCTCCTTCGCAAGCACCGGGGACTTACCCGGAAAATGACCCGCTGGAAGTTGGAAGATCCTTTTCCTCTGGAAACAGTAACAGGGGTGAACTATGGTGAACTCCACTTCCATGTTTGTTGCAGGGAGGGTGCATGGTGATCTCCGGTCGCCTGGAACGCCCTTCCCAGCATTTCCCAGCCGCCTTCAAGCCACTGCTGTAGCTCCGTGGAGATCTGCTCCAAGGGAACCAGCGCCTCGCAGATCCGAGGCTTCCTGGGACGATCGAACACTTGCCGATCGGTTGGAATCCTTGGACGGACTGACCATGGGCAACATGCAAGTTTCACATCAGAACAATCGTCTTTGAAGAGTCAACATCACAAGCTTTCCCCAAACCATCGCCTGGTGGAACGGCCCTCTCCTGTTGATTCATTTTGGACGGAAAAAGGTGTGGCAAATCCAGGGAGTCACATTCTTTGGCGCCCACTGATTGCCTCATGTTGCTTACATTGCGTAGATTGGTCGCTGGACACTCTATCCGGAACAAATTGGAAGCTTAACGGCGCTCCCTCTCTGTTTTTCACCAAATACCGCTTTCAACAAAAACCAAGACGCCAAGAGCCGTCATTGGTCAATTGGAGCCCATGCTTGTGCTCAAAGCGTGCCATGTGTGGCCTGAGGCTCCGCTGGCACAAGTTGGTGCAGGATGGCAAATCCGTGTGGGTTTCAATCAAATTTCTTTCAACTCAAGGACCTCATGCAGCTAAGTGCCAGACTGCAGCAAGTAGAAGCAACACTTGGGCACCTTTGGCACCAGAATTCCTCGGACAGCAACAAACTGTCCAACTTGGACTTGGCGGGCACGCATTCGCCAAGCTTGGATCCCAGTTTCCAGCAAAAAACTGAGGTGACTGTGCCACCTACTCTCTGTATGCCACTCCAGCTGGCTCATGGTTGGGCGAAGCCGCCGGGCCGCCGGGCCCTCCGGATCCCTCAAGACTGGTCCCGAGCGTAACATGGGCGTTTGGGGCAGTATGGCGGCAAGACCGGACTCCCCAAAGAAACATTCAATGGCTATCACAAGAAACTCGAGGAAACCATCTTCCTCAACCCAATTGGAGGTCATTATGGTTGATGGTGGTTGAGGTAATCGAGTTCTGTGGTTTGGATGAAAACAACAATCCTCCTCAACCAAATCTCATGGAGGTTGAGGCAATTGCAAAATGACAGAACGAGATTCTTCTGAGCTCCATGAGGCCCACACAGAATGTCATTTGTACGGGAGGTGTGCTTCTCAATTAACTGGTGAACGGACGCACACAGTCGGGACAGCCCAAACCAAGTGATCGAGCAAAACAACAAGAACTCCAAGTACTGTCAGTCATAAGGCTTCAAACAGCACCAAACTCCGCATTGCTGCGTTGTTCCAGAAAGTTTTGGATGAATTCGTCGTTCCACTGGCACTAGAACTCCATACACGCCGCTCAAGGTGTTCTCAATCAACCACGCAGCAAAATGCAGCAAGTAGAAATCCATAGAAATCCCCTATTGATCTTTACTTCTCCCAGAACTTTGAGATCGCTTCGCTCCAAAACATCCAAACCAGTCCGGTGCGTGCTCCGAGTCTTCGTCCGAGTACGGCGGGCGCCAGGTGTCGGGAGCGGGGCGCCAAAGACTCCTGAAGAAAGGTGGTGCCCACATCGCCGCGGCACCACAGTACCAAAGCACCCAGCAATCTATGGCGATGGTCGGAATGGGTCGATACTACGACACGACCCATCGGAGCGTTCTCGGAAAGAAAACACATAGCCCAACGGGCACAAGAGTCAGCGGGATTGGGAAGATCTCCAAGTACAGTTGTATGCATCCTCTCCATGCCAGGTGGGGCGAAATATACGTAAATCACTGTGGTAACAGTATGGGCAAAATGACTGTGGCTTCTATTAACTCTGGGTCTGGAACTCTGTTGCTCAGTGATCTCATCTTCGGTCTTCTTATCAACCTCACTCTGACCATCTCCGACCCACAAACAAGTGGGACCCCCCACTCTGAACTTGACCTTTCCCGACGACCTCGCATCGTTTAACTGGTCGAGGTAGCACCTTCAGCTCCAACCTTCAAATTGGGAGCAAACATGAGCAAACTCAAACCCACGCTCGCCTGTCCACCATGCCCGGGAGGGTGCGCTGCACAGAGACGCCGATGCGGCACCATCCCGGGAATGCAACAGTGCAGGAGAGGCGATTCAAGGAGAAACCTCAAGACAGTCCAAGCTCTCTGGACATGGCAACGGTTGGTCTCGTTGATGTTGTCACAAACCAAGGGTATTATATCGGAGAACATTGCCTCCTACTTTGTCCACCCACATGTGTTGGGAATTCACCCCGCAAACGAAGAGTTCATATTTTCCGGTCCTTGTACCCCCCAAATTACGATCTTTGGACTGGAATCGTATGTGGGCAATGGTGGGTCTAAGCTCATGCATGCAATTCTGGCTGGCGGCGCCTGGTTGCTTTCCAGGGTGATCAATTCTCCAGCGCAACTGCTGGAAAAAAACGCTCCACAAAACGTGTGTGAATGAGTCTCTAGGAAGCCTACCAGCCAAATCCACTTTGTTGAAGTCATCTTCTCCGCCCGATGAGTCGGCGGTTCCACCCGGACTCCCTCCGCCCGGTTCCATGACTAGAGGCTAGGAGGGTCTCCGCGACCGAGGGACCTTAGACAAACACGGTCAAAACGGTGGCATAGGAATCCAAACATTTAGCACACAACAATTTTTCTGCAGGTGCACTGAGGATCTCCCACGACAGGAACTTCAACTTCAATCTCACATGCATCCCAGCTACCCCAAGCTCTTCATCCTTAGCGCCTCCATCTACACTCCCCGAAATCATCCTGGAAGTGGATGAAATGGCCCCTAGGATGACCATGTTCCTCTACAAACAGGTGATGCCGTTATGCCATCCACCCATATCCATCTAGCATCTCATTCCTCATTCCATATCAACAAAACCGCCCACTCAACAGGCGTCGACAGGACTCCGTTTCACCCGCCCCCTCCAAAAAACAACAACTCCTCTTGCTGAAGTCGAACGAAATCACCGCAAAGCATCGCAAAGCTACACCTTCCGACCACTGAAGATCTCCCATACTTACTGGCATCAGGTGTGACATGGCTTCGTTCCTTGTGGCGTCCTCCACGTTCGACCTCCGAACCCTGCCCACCCTGCCCACCCTGCCATGCGGCCGGTCGCAGAAGTTCTGCCAGTGACATCCGGCACGTAGTTGTCGCAGTCCCGACTTCACCCGGCGCGCCAAGGCGCGGTCGAAGGGCACTCCGTTGGCAGAGTAAGGCCTCGAAGGCTTGGGAAAGTGTGGGCAAGGTCGGGCGGAAGGAGAGGCAAACACTGGTCAAACATTCCTGAAGAGCTTTGAAGATCTTACAAGGTTCTGACTGCCTTGGAACCCTTGGAGCAGCTTTGAGATCTGTGGAAAAGCTGATATGCACTGAAGGCTTTGGACTGAAGCGCTGTTCTGCAACGTCTCTTGAGAACATGGAGTCCATGCAACTTGACTTCTCCAATTGGATTGCCGAGTCCGTCGCACTGGGCCCCAAACTCCAAAGGCTCGGAGGCTTCTCCCAGGATCCACCAGGGCAAAAGCCTGAGGGTGAAACTGACCAACTATGCCCAGCAGACTGACCAACTATGTCCAGCACATGAACGACCAACTATGTCCAGCCATCAGGTATAGTGGATACCAGCCAAAAGGCATTCTGCCATGCAGGGCCCATCTGTTGGATCTGGATGTTTGGATCCATTTCAACCTGTGTCCCTGGAAAATATCATGTTACCTTGATGTTGCAGCTACCTAGATGTTACCACCGGCTCATTTGAACATCGTTTCACCAATCCCCAAGAAAGCACTGAAGCAGTGCAGGGACTAGCTAGGTCCCTGTTGGTTGTTTGCCACCTAGGAGAATGCCCTTAGGCTTCGTGCCTATGACATCTCTTCTTCGCACGCATGCGAGAAGGATCAGTCCTTTTTGATCATGTCAGGATGGCAAGAGGCTAGCTAGCAGCTAGCATATAACTAGCAGCTAGGACAACATCCAAATGCATGGACACCTGACCACTAGGGCCTACTAGGGGCCATCCCCACGCAAAACAACACACAGCTGGGACATCATCGTTCTATCGCGTCCAAGCCACGCTTCGAAGCGCTCGATCTCACAGGAGCGTGCAGCGTGGAAGGTGGCTGGTACCTGACGCGCCGCCCGGCAACGCGGCAACTGGGGGGACTGGAAGGCAGAAGCACTCCCTGGAGGTCCAGTCTGACCCAGTCTGCCTGGTTCTGAAACCTCTTTGACTATACAATTACGTTGTTTGACATGATCCCTGGGGTACATAATGCGGATGCCACTGGTTGGCCAATGTGAGAACTGTAGGAACTCCCAGTTCCCACAAGGTCGGACACATCCCAAAGCCTTGGAGCTGCTCCGCTGAGAAGGGTCCACTGCTCATTTTGGGGGAGATGGAGGACCGAGCTCCGAAGTCATCAGCTGGGAAGACCATCACCCAAACACTCCATGTATGCCATACATGCCTACATTGGGGTGGTTTTGGGGGTCAACTGATTGGCATATACATGGAGTGTCTGAGTCAGCAAACCCCGTCCAAACTCAGCAGAGCTGACCATGATGTGACAGACTCACCGACTCAGCGACGGAACACATTGGAACTCACACGACCGACACGTGAGCCGGACGGCTCATCGTCTTGGGAACTTGATGGATTGGCCGCTGGAAAATGAGAGATCGGTGAAAACAGAAAATGAGTTGAGGATGTGGAGGGGGGGGCCCACACGGAGCACAATCCCATGGGTTTGTCCATCTACACCTACTGAACACTCAAATCCCCCCAGCAGCCGGTGACTGGAAGCCGAGTTGCCTCCACGCAACCGAGCAAGTCCACCCCACTTGAGACAGGCAAATGGCTCTCAATCCTCTCCTGAGTCCAACTGCTTCCGGTCCAGCGGTCTGGTAGACCCCCGTCGCATGCCCATGCTGGAAGAATCTCCCACCTGGATCTCCCCAATTTTCTCCAGTTTCTCAGCCGAATGGGGTACCATCCAGGGGTACAGAGTTGGCCCAAGGATATGTTACACGTTTGGAGGAGCTTCCCACCCCACTAATGCATCAGATCAGTCCCAAACATATCTGTCTACACTCGTTGGGGTTTTGCAGGTTGGGCTTGGAAGGACGCTGTAGCAGTCCAAACCTTTCCGAAAATTGACTTGAAATTGTATATGGTCGGCTGATGTCGGCTGTATTGAAAAGGAAACTGACCCCAGCCACAAAAACACATTGCAAATTTAGAGAAAGGAGTGAAACAGCTGCAAAACTGGAGATGATCACAAGGCAGGGGGGTTGATGGTAGTTGATGCTAAGGATTGCTAAGGAGGCAGGAGGAGTCAGGAACAGCCAAGTCTCCAAAATCTCACGTCCTTCAAGCCCTTCCGCCTTCTTCGGCAGTCGCATCCCCAGCACATTTGCCTTGGCCGGGCCCCTCTGAGGTGGCGAAGCCCAGGTCACTCGCGGTGCAGGTCTGGGTTCCTGTGGGTGGAGCGGGAAGGCGCGCAAGGAGGCTGCCACCAACTGCCTCAGAGATGCGGTGCCTCACCACTTTCCACCTCACCACTCACCACCAAGAAACACCTCGTGTTGGGCCTTAGGGAGGGCCGAAATACATGAAGTCTAAACAACCGACGTCTGCCCGTGGGCTGCCGACGTCTGTTGGCCCGTGGGCTGTTCTTTTTCTTGCCCGTGGGCGGGAACGTATGTTACAGTACATGACAGTCCGTCCTGGCGTGATGTTGCAACTGTTGACACATGTTCCCTTCAGGATGCGAACGGGAGAGCGTTCGCAACATGGAATCCGAAGCTGCGGAGAATGGCATATGGATGCCACAAGCATCCGACCCAATTGCATTCCTAGCCACCCTGGCAGTGCAGTATGTCTTGTATGTGTTGCATTTCTGCACGATCGGAACGAATGAAACACTTCCATTCGCTTTTGAACGTTTGACGAAGCCACTTTTCGTCTCACACGAGTTGCACAAAGTCTGTGAATGAGTCATTCCAAAACATGCCCAAGTTAGATTTTGCGCACTTTTTTTGCGGGGTGGTTTGGGATCTGTTTTGACAAAACTGTGCCCATATCGACTGCGTTTCATTCCTTAAATTCAGTAGGAAAGATCATGTCTTTATACATCTTTCTACAGTACCAGTCATTTCTTGAGTTGGATTCAAAAGCGCCCACGGAACAGCATCTTCTGGATCAGCTCTTTATTTTTTTTTCCGTTGATCAAATGTTTCTGTGCGTTTGATCCAACTGGCATGAATTGGAATTTGCTGGTGTTTGCGCGGGTTTGCGGTGAGAAACCCAAAAGTATATATAAAAACATATTGAACTTTAGATGGTCCATAGGCTAATGTATGAATCAATGCAACATTAGTAGATTGAATATGTTCAACTGGCAGGTGGCCCAGGCAAAGATCACTTTGACTTGGATCACGGCCAAAAGACACAAAACACATGTCCCCTTGGCATTTCTCTTTGCAGGACCTGCTCTAAAATGTCAAGTCCCTTTTTGCAGGGTTAGCAGTTCAAGGCGGATGAAAGTGAGAGATCCATTACTTCCACTAGATCCGCAGGTCTGATACCGAGGGTTGGTCCGAAAAAAACAACATGGTCCAGTTCGTTCTCTTGAAACGGTCCGGCCTTACGTCTGGACGCGTTCCTCGCCTTTTTTCTTCACATTGATGATCTTGATTGATCTTGTTTTCCAAGTCCAAGTCGCTCTTCCCATCCATCAGGCTTCTCCACGTACGACACCACCAACGCCACTTGCAGCCGCGACTCCCGGCGCTCTGCGGACGGGGCCGGGGCCAGTGTCGAGGCGCAGGCGGAAGATGTGCTGCGGAGGTGCCGGAAGAGGGCGTTCCTGGACTCAGTCAGAACTGGCCACTTTGTAGTACCCAAACGCGACCCTGGACCCGAACCTATGGAGGGGTCGGACCCGAATCCTTTGGAGGGGTCTGGGGTCGAACCTGCGTGTGAATAGCTGGAGCCCTTAAGAGCCGGTTGCTCCGGTGCGTGCCCCCATGTCTGGTAGCTGTGCTCGTAGCTATGCAGCTTGGGCGGTGTGTGGGCAGAACTTGGTGAATCACAGGTTATGAGCCCAAAATGTGGCCATTGCGCGGCTTTGATGTCCGCTGCGATGCTTCTTGCATGTGTGGTGAAGCTGGGAGATTCAGGGCCTGTTCGACAAAGAAGTTGGAGGGTGAGTCTTTGCCTCAAAAAGCGGGGGATGGTGTGGTCTCAGAAAGCGGGGGGCCGGTGCACTTCATCAGCGAGAAGTTTGGCATGAAGGTTGGTGAGGCGCCTAACAGTTGGTGCGGTGGCTCAAGCCCAACGGCCTCTGCCAGATTGCACACATTGCACTCTGCATGCTTGAGCTGCAGAGTGGGGGGAGTGCGTGTGAATAGCTGGAGCCCTTAAGAGCCGGTTGCCCCGGTGCGTGCCCCCATGTCTGGTAGCTGTGCTCATAGCTATGCAGCTTGGGCGGTGTGTGGGCAGAACTTGGTGAATCACAGAACCAATCCCTAGGTTTTGTGGGACCAAGGGCTGTTTGTCTGGGTGCAAAGCTAGTAGGGGAAGTAGCTTCTGGGAGATCCGAATCTGGAGTTTGGAGTCTCACTCTGCCACTCTGGGCACATCATTGGACCTATGAGAAAGGGCCACGAGTGGAACGAAGAAGTGGAACAAGCTACGCTTCAGAAAGCCGTTCTGCATCCGGTGGGACTTTGTTCATTTTCGGCTTGGGAGTGCCAAAACTTGGAGGATGAGTGTCCGATGGCCAAAAAAACAGGTGGTCCACCATCAACCACTCGGCAAAATCCAAAGCCAGCGCGAACCACCACCCGATGCCTCGACTGGAGCTGTTGCCCACACTTCGCGCAGCACTGCCCACTGAGTGCCGGTGTAGCAAAGGACATAGGCACTGCTCGACGCATGGCATCCAAACGACTCTCAGAGGCATCCAGCGAGGGCCAGCGGAAGAAGGCACCATGGATACTTTGCCTGGGTGAAAGTAGGGCTTGATCATCCTAAAACATCCTAAAACTATAATATTCGTTGAAAGAAGCCGACATGGAAACAACTACTTGAGGACAGTGGGGACGAAAAGCGAGGGGTCTGGAATCTGGAAGGATCAATCGCACACCAAGGGAGGGCGGCAAAGTTTTGTGCCACGAGCGCAAAGTGCTGCTGCAGCACTGGGCCGCTCCATTTTGGCATGCTTTCTCACAAGGACCAGGGAAGAATCGAATGGACTCTTTTAATTCCTTTTGCAGGGGGGGGAGGCCCCCCATTCCCTTAGACGTTTCAATCTTTCCATTGAAATATCAATTCTTTTGCGAGGGAGGGGGTTGTAATTGAAGGAATCACTAAAAAGGGATAGCCTCCCTTTGATTGAAAGAATCAATTGGTGCACTGAACCTTTCAATGTTTAGCCTCACCATATGTCGTAAACAACAACTTCCGCTGAGCTCCTTCTGAGCTGCTTTCGTCCACATGGACAAAGACAAAATAAAAACACCATGCACTTGGATCGACTTGATGCTCAATGCAGGTCTCATCCACGGACTCGTGTGCTTTCTGGATGTCTTTGGGGTAGGTTTACAATTTATATCAATTTATACGTATCCGTATCACAATAATTTTCCTTAGAGAGCAATGAAGCGGATGGCGCACGGAGAAAAACACTCAGGCAATCTGGAGTTTGTGACAAGCACCCAGCAACTCATCAAAATCATCTCATCGGGACGAATTCATTCCCACTCCTGTCCTTCTTGGGTTTCTTCCAGGTTAAATCCCTTCACTGATCCACCGACGGGCGCTGTGCAGGAAAAGCACATGTACTCCTCCAGTAATGTCAATCGCTGATCCTCTGAGAACTCCAACATGGCCACTTGCACAAAGCACACGTGCTTCTCCTTCTCGGGGACACCTGGGAGAACGGGCAACAACGAGTGCTCCGCACGATCCGCACAAGGCCTTCGATGGCGGATCCCCAAGTGGCTACATGTGGCTACCAACCTCATCCAAGGCCTGGCAAACAGCATGAAGCTCCACACAAACCACTTGTTAGGCCAACTTTTGGACTGCAGTTTTGGTTGTATCCTCAACTTGGACCTGGACAGCCTCTCATTGATGATGCCAAAAAAAAACAGCAACTTGGTGGGGGCCGGCCTCGACAGTCGTATTTAATTTGTTAAACAGTGCAAGCAGCAAAATTAAGGCTCTCATCATAGCAACACCCAAGTAGTATACAGTACCTTGAGCTTTCCCTTCAGGCACTGACGCTATTTTCCAGAAGAGGTTTGACTGCTTGACAAACCGTGTTTGTTCGCGATCGTCTTTCACATGTTAGCCTGCATCTGCCAATTGATCCAAACAATTTGTTTGAGACCTAGGACTGGCCCATCCACATTGTAAAAGTGGTATGCAAGGAGCAGCTGACTGACCAAAACAACAACGGCATAAAACAGTCCGAACGGCCGATCTTGGAATCATCTTCGGGAATGCAGCAACCCATCTCTTTGTCATGCGCCGTATAGGGACAAGACCCTCCACCCGTTCAACCCGCTAAGGCTGCAAGAACACTCGGCGCGGCACATCTTTTTGGTATGGCTTTGTAGGGCTATAGAGAAATTCAATCCCGAAGGCACGGTAACGGATGTTGTCAAACTCTGCCAGCCACTTCACTGTGGCTTTCCTCATCTCAAAGTCGAAGATCATGTCGCCCACCACATGACGAAACTGGATGTTGGACTGCCTCGCACACGACTCTCGAGCACTTTCTTGGATTGGACTTCAATCCAGGACAGGAGCGTGCTGTTTCTCGTACTTCGAATGGTATTGTACGAGCAAGGGTGTGGCATTGTCGTGTACTAAAATACGGGTGTGACTCGACCAGTGGATTTATTGTTGAATGCATGAGTGCAAAATTTGTGGTTCTATTTCTTCTCCCGTGCGTATAGGGATATGCCAAAAAAGGCCCAGGCGAAACACGTCGAAATACGGCGACTGCAAGAATACCAGGGCGAGCTCTGCCCAAGAATCATTGATTAAATCCTTGCCTCTCACTTCGCATCTCACAATGTGTTGCACGCCAAGGCGCTTCCCTACCACTTGTGTCTCCCAGTAGTGCTTGATCGCCTGCGGTTGGGGCAAAACTGGAGGTCGCCTGCGGACATGCCATCATTACCCCTTTCACCTCAACGACCTGTTACAAGATTGAAGGACAATTTAACAAATTGTTTGTTCCTTCTCTTGCAATGTGTTTGAAGGTTCGGATGCTGTGTATGTATATACATATATGATGGGCGATCCCATGAACATAAACATGGACTCAGTGGATCTTGGTCCTTGGTGGTAACCTTGTGCTCATGGCATAACCTTGGTCGTCTCCTTGGTCTTCATTTCCCGTATCCTTGACTCCAAAAGACCTACCCCACGGCACGGCGGTTCTGGAATGTGTCATCCGCAGCCGTCCACAGCCTCTGGTCCACGAAAGGTGCTGCGCGTATCGAAGATCCGCTCGACGTAAACGCCCTCCGGTGCAAAAAGCGCCGCGATCCTCTCGCGAAGTGGCGAACAACGCGGAGTTCACATCCTGATCCAAACTTACTCGTACCCAAGTGCTACCTTCGTTTCGAAGGTGCTTGGGGTGGGTGCCAGGAGGTCCAAATACCTAGTGAGGTACTTGGAGCCATAGGGATAATAGTTAGTTGATTGAGAGTCGATGGCACAATCCCCGGAAGGGGATCCATATGGACCCCATAGTGGACCCCATCTACAAGACATCTTTGGGTTCGTGCCATCTGAGACTGTGAAACCACTATGAACCTGTCTAACTCGGGTTTGCCAACCGAAGTGGAGCCTCAATCAGATTCATGGCAGGATGAGCCATTAATTTCATGGGTGAACAACCTACTTCCTTGTGACTTATTGCATCAATCATGCGTAGATTCTAGGTTCCCTGTCGGAAAGGTTGTGCTAGTCAGGATCTCCGTGTTGCCTCCCAGTGGGAGGCATTCTTAGAAATCTCCCACCACCACGCTGCAGGTGACTAATGGGAAATAATATGAAATAATAAATTTACCCACAATTCCCTATGTAGCTCTCATTATGGTTGCTTGGGGTCCGAAATGATCCGCATGCAAGGATCATTTAACAACTTCATGACAAAGCTCTCGGGTCTCAAAAAATGTCCCACAAAAAGGTTCTGGGAGCAAAACCTATGAAAGTGTTGCTCAGCCATCCTAGCCTATACTACAGTACTTGGTATATCCTACCGAATCCTAGCCCCACTTGATGGTAAGTACACATTGTTCCTGCTCTGCGAACCCGTCCTCGCTGGATCTTGGCTAACCCACGCGGCTCCATATTCCTCCACCACTTGGCAAACCACTTCGCGAGTGAACTCTGCACCACGCGCGACACGCCGCGTCCAGGCGCGACCATGGCACTTCTTGGCCTGGCATGGGGCCCAGCCAGTGGGGAGAGTTTCAGTGATTTGGTCACTTGCAGAATCAGTCTTGTATAACTAATCAGCTTGGTCTGAAAAACGCGCTGAGGCGTTTAATGACTTTAGTGTGTGTGTGTGTGTCAGTTTTTCCCTCTCCTCAGCGGAGTTATGTAAAGACTATATATGTAGGCATACTCTATAATTACAACATTGTTGTCTGTCCTAGTCTGTGCAAGTCCTTATCAAGCTCAAGTTACTTGGTTACTATTGAAGGCTCAACGGAGGGTGTGTGGAGAAGGGGGGTCAGCCAAAATCGCTTATACCAAGTTGGTACATCAAAAATACATTCTACAAAGTTTTATGAAGGTTTCTGGGATTTTGTTGCAGTCAATTTTCCTACTGGCCCACCATTCCACGAAACGTCCACGAATAGCCCGGGTTCCACGAATGTCCCGCGCCTTTCACGATGTTAGTAGAATAGGTGTTTGCAAAATTCTTTCTGTGCAGTACCCTTCCGTTTGCCTCTGAACTATGATGTAATTCTGCGTTCTTACTGAATTTCATGTCTTCCATTTTCCTTTCCCAGCATTTTCCAGCTGCTCCGCTGCTCACACCTGGCCTCCCCGTCCTTGCGCCCCCTTGCGGCGCGTGTGGCGGGCCCCAGCCATGCACAGCTCAGCACCACGGCCGTCGCGTGGCGACCGCGACGCCACGCAAGCGCTGTCCGCGGCGGTTCAACGCCGCCCGGGCCGCGGGGTGGATGCTGCTGCGGGCGCAAGGCGACAGATCGCTGCATCGAGGCAGTTTGAGAAGCAAAAGCTGTGTTTCTTGTTTTGTCTGGTTGTTCGGTGTTTGGTGTTTTGGGGTGTTGGGGTGCGGGCTTCTGAAATTTGGAGCTGCGGCATTACTATGGACGTGGTGCAAACGAGCGAGACAAACGGGTTGGGAGAGTCAATGACCATGGCTGGAGGATGACCATGGCAGTGCACTGGAGCATGCAGCACGTCATGACATGCCTGGTCGGCACATGCAGTCAACTCTCAGCCAGGCTTGGGCCAAAAAGGCCCTCCTTCTTTGGGCTTCAGCATCTGTCAACCTTGTCCCTGATTCATCCGATTCCGTGAACCCGGTGATGGAAGTCACAACACGTGACCCGCACTGGTCGCTCCGTCTTGTCGGGGTGGTGGAAGTCCGTGGCTGGTCGCTCAGCTCGGCCCCAACGCCCTCTGCGTGCCGTGCCTTCTTTCACGATTCAACCGACAGAGCATGGGTCTTCCCGGGGGCATGTGGGCCAAAGGAGCCCCATAGGGTAGGGGGGGGAAGTGAAAAGTGGACGACTGGGTGGCATGCTGCTGGACGACTGGGTGCTTTCTTTGCACCGGTCCCGCAGAGCCTTTTTTTCTTTCAACCTTCGTTCACTGGGCGACCTGTACCGCGGAAAACGAAGAAACGCAAACCCAAACCTTTGTAAAACAACCTTCAATTCTGGGCAACAGTAGTCCGCTTCCATTTTTGGTTTGGCGGCTACAGTGGTACTCTGAGTAGATGGCACAATCCCAAAAATGTGGTTTATAAGGACCCCCATACTGTACTGTAAATATAAAAGGTTTGCGCCATCTACTCTGAAACCACTGGGCATCGCAGTTCTTTCACCGTTCCCATCATGTTTTGATGCTCCCAGCCAGCACCTCCTGCGTGCTGTGGTGCCACCAGCGCAAGGCAGTGGCTTGTGCTCGACGACTGCTGGAGGCCTCCACTTGGATTGGTCCCCTTCAGCCTCAACTCATGACACCAAATCTGTCAGGACCCAAGACATCGGGAAAAAGAAACATATGGGGGCAAAGAACGCAAAGAACAATGAGCCGATCTGCTAAACCAAATCCATGGACAAGGAGGGTTATTAATCAAGAGTCTACATTAACCATCTAAAACCTGCACTGGAGTCGGTCGACCTCCAGCAGCTTGGGGTCCCATTGCAAGGCGCACGGCGGCGCGGAATGCGCCAGGCGGGCGAAGAGATCTCTGGTGCCCCGTAGGGCGAAGTTCTATTGGCATGGTGGAACTGCTTCAAGCGTGTGAACTATCAATGAAATTCCATAAAGAGCTGCTTCCGGGCTAGGGGTCACCTGGCTGGATATCTCCACACTACGTAAACAGGTCTCCAGACAGGGCGCCCCGACAGGAAGCGCTAGGTATATAGCTTGTAAAATGGATGCCCTGTTCTTAGGAGGGCTCCACACATCTCAAGGACCCCAAAGCTCCAATCTCCCACGGGCTCCGAGCTCGAGCGCCTGCATCCGATCGCCGTGGGTGCTCGCCATCTGCTGTCGCGTCTTACGATCTCGCAAATACCTCCAATTGACAGCGTGATGGGAAGCCATGCGCCGCATCTGACCACCCCGAACACAGGACCCATCAGGACCATCACTTGCGACTTAGACCATCTCTTGGGTCGAAGCAAGTACTCTCATGGATATCCGTCGAATCACGCCCCTTGACAGTCTTTTCATGCACTCTTCGCCTCTTAGGTGGGCCTATCCTTGGAAATGGGGCCCACTCTGAGAGAGGACAAAGGGCCCATCCTTGATGGCAATGGGCCTACTCTGTGCTCCAAGTGACGTCGCCCACCGCCGGAAGGTCGGCGCCAGGGTCCAACGGCCCAGCCTGCCACGGAAAGGCCTTCCCGGCCCGGCGGGTGCCGCGAAAAGAGACCGCATCCAGAAACATGAAAAACTCACAAAAATGTTCAAATCGTTGACCTGGTGTTGTAGTCAAAAGTCCATTGTAAAACAATGGTGGTTGGAGTCCTAGGGTTTGGGGAACTGCTGCAAACCCATACACTTCTGAGCAGTTTGGGGGGAGGCTAGCTAGCGAGCTCCATCTCCAGCCTCTCCAAGCCGCGTTGCACTTCTCCCGAGCGGTGCTTAAATAGCCGCCATCGGGCCTGGCAGCATTCTGCAGTCACCGGAAGGAGACAGCAAAAGCCTGGTGAGTTGGAACTCACGAACAACAAATATGAGTCATCGGGATTCAGTGGGTTCATCAGTGGGATTCAATGGGTTCAATCATCCCACGTAAAGGTTGAACATAAGTGACAATTAATGTCCATAACCACCACGTGGAGGCGTCTGTTTCTGGCGTTGGAAGCGCCGTTTGTTGGAACTGGGTCAGCTCCATGGTGCTGTGGGAGATCCTTAAAGCCCAACACCTTGCTACCAGGAGTCATAAAGGGGTTGCTTTTAGTCTCTAAACCCAGACCATCAATCCATGACATATTTACATACATTGGGGTGGTGCCAGGGGGGTCAGTGAATGGATAGTGGGCACCTAACCTCCAGACACTCCGCAAGTTCGGCACTGTGAGCTCTGTGACTCTTGGCAAACTGGACACTGGATGTGTCCTCCACTCCTGGCCGCTTTCCTCAGGTGCCTGGAGCCCCTTCCGCTTCTGGACCGCAGCTGTATTGACCACGGGTGATTGATCGTGTCTCGTTCGCGCCCGAACCACGGCACACGTCTGAACGATCCGGGAGGACCTGGCACCCAAACGACCAGAGGTTTTCACACTGAAATCATGGTAAATCATTGGACCCCAAACGCTTCGCCCAAACGCACCACCATTGAAATCACCATCTCTTCAATCATGGTGATGATTGGTGATTCACCACCTCTTCAACTCTTCGCCAAAACGCGATCCTGGACCCTCAGACGGAGGGATCGGACCCTCAGATGGTCGTCCTTTCAGTTGTTATTTCCCGGTTCCCAGTGGATGGCCCTGGGGGGCAAAAGACTCCAGCTCGGTGGGGCGACCTGAGTTCCCTGGCCAGCATCTGTCGCATCAAATGATGCGGTCGCTTCTCTCCCACGAGCAGGAGGAAGGACCTGGTGGTTTTTCGCCATCTGAGAGTTTGGTTGAGACCTGGTACATAAATGTACATCGTGTGTATTGAGGGTTGACTGGTCTATTTCCCGACCCTTCCAGGGTGGAAGATCCAGCTACACACGATGGGCCGGGCTTCTCAACCTCTCTAGGCGGCCTCGTCCTACCGTGTGAACTCGACCGTTGATGGCAAAGGAGGGGATCAGGGCAACGTTCCGAAACATGGTGATGACAACTGTGTCACACTTGGGGGCAAGGTTACGGTCCAACCGATGTTTTAGACACAGTGCATCACAGAGCTCAAGAAAACCCCTTCCTGGGCTCTGGAGCATGCTCAACCTGTTGGTGACCGAAGCTGAGATCCAATTTATTCCACCGGTGACACCTGGTTCACCCGTATTTTGCCACACCGCACACCATTCCCCTCCAAATCGGCGAGTTGTTAAAGGGCCAGGGCGGCCGGGTCTTTGAACTAAACGTCTGACCTTTCTACGGAAGGCAGCGAAGTCCGGCCTCAAAGCACATGAGTTTTTCAAATCTGTTCAACTCTTTAAGTGCCGCGAGGGTCAGGTTTCTATTTCAGGGGTCGACTCTTCTAATGCGGTTTCCACGAACGTCCAGCGCCAGCCAGGGCGCCAATGTCGCAGAAGCCTCGAGGCGCGTCTTGCGCCCACAGCAGCCGCGACCTACCGAGGGGATTCTGGCTTTCAAGGGGGGCCCTATATGCACGTCGAATGGAAACTACCCTGTCTGTGAAAGAGTGAAAAACGTCCAAAGGTTCATTCACCAGCGAGTGATGAAACAGAAACTGAAGCAGAAAGGACAGGACATGAAGGGACTCTCTCTCTCTCTCTCTTTCTGTCTCTGGTCTTTTGCTAATTGGTCGGCCCACCTACATCCCATCAAAGGCTGAACACTTATCCTTGGGAAACTGATGGGCTTTCAATCACTTCTGTAGCTGCTCTGCCTCCTTCTGATCCAATGTGCCACCTGGAGCGACATCCTCCTAGACTAGACTACTATCCTTCAGAGGGGTGTTTGTTTCTCGTCCATGCAAGTGTTGCCCCACACCTGCAGGCTGTTTTCCCTGGCCCCACCCATATGCAGCTGAAGGAAGGTCCAAAACAAGGTCCAAGCACCGCACCGATACACGCCATCGGAACCACCCAAGGCAGCACCTTTTGACCAATAAGATCGTCTTCATAAGTCATCATAACACACCTCCCATCTTCAAACCAAAAAGCCAAACAGCTATAGACATTATTTTTTGGCATCATCACGACTGGTGCTGATGCTGATGACGACGATGATGGAACCCTATAGGGTAGGGAAATAACCAATCCTCACCCCCAACATCTCCATATGGCCGTGCCTTCTCTCCACACGCGTACAGGCCCATCCTGCAACTGAGAGCAGCCCACTGGCAACAAACTTAACATCACATAAATATGCATAGCTCGAACATTCATGTCCGGTTCTCACGGGCCTCCACAAGGTCCCACGTCTCAATTCTTGGTTTGAGCCAACTGGCCATTTACCAGCACCCTCCCACGGGTTTTCTTTCTGGAGGCTTTTGAACAAAAGAGTCACAGACCTGTTGGAGCGTATTCTCTGAGGTGCCCTGCATGGCAGACCAGCCCGTGAAGGCTCTTAGGACCTCGTCGCGGCCACGCGGTGGCCAGTTCGCGGTGGGGGGGAAAGTGACGATGAACTGATCCGCGAGGTGCTTGCGAAAATGGAAAGCCAGTATATACTTTTACTGATTTCGTCTGGAGGGCTATATAAAGGATATTTTCCTGGGAAGGTACTGCTGGGATTCCCTATTAAAATACACACCCACATTATGCGTCCCACATTGGTGCCTCCGCGGAAGACTCTTGGCTCAAACATGATGGTGAAACAAGTGCGGCCGTGGCACACAGCAAATGCACACGGA